AAACATCACTAAATACTAAATACAAATTTGGGTAGTTCATTATAGCACTAGCTGTAAATTAGTCCATCCTTAATTTCATAACACTACAACAAAATAGATTTTTAGTGACATTTAATATAACTTTTAGTGGCAATAAAAATTACTACAAAATCTTTTATCGACATTTTCATATTAGTCATTGTATGCAGTGTCGCTAAAATATTTAGCTGCAATTATTCTAAATGCTGGTAAAAACCCTTATAATGGTCGAAAAAAATATATCTTTTTGTGACATTTTTTACTTTATAGTCGATGTGGGACTTGTAAGATGAGTACAAATAAATAATTACTTTATCTCTAGTTGATGTGAAACTTGTAAGATGATAGTTGTCTTCTACTTATATATTCTTTTTAATTACCTTATTTCTAGTTAATGTGGGACTTTAAGATGAAAGTTATCTATATTATTTTCTTATCAATAGTTGGTCCCCTTAAGTTTAAAGATTATTGAGTTTGATAATAGTGAATAATCTCATACTAATTTAGAATAATAAGTTATAGGTCTAACTCAATCATACATAATAAACTTGAAAGGTGAGAGTTATTATTCATTTATATACTTTTTAATTATCTTATTTATAGTCGATGTGGGACTAAAATTTTTCTTAATAAATAAATGTCGCTAATAATAAATTTTGGTGTGATATAAATATATTTTTAGTGACCATTATATGTTAGCCACTAATACTTTTATTAAATAATAAAATAAAGACAATTAATTTATTACTGGTAAATAATTGTCGATAAAAACAAATTTTGTTCTAGTGTAATAAATATCGTCTACATTATTTTACATAAATAAAAATACTAATAAATAGATGAAATAAAATAATAATTTTATAAAATTAAATTTATGATTAATCTTCTTTATATTAAAAATGATGTAACACGATCATTTTTTAAATAATATTATTAAAAATATAAATACAAATAAGATAATAAATACTATATTAAAAAATCAATATAAGTAGATAACACTTTTAGACTTAATTTTTCTTGTAACAACGAAGCTTATGACAAGAAATAAGGAGTATTGTACACTAAAAATGATTAATCCACTACAAGAAAAATACAAAATAGCGACCGAAATTAGCGACCGAATTTTATCGGTCGCTATTTCGCGACCGAATTAGCGACCGATTAAACTAGCGACCGATTTAGCGACCGAAATTTATCAGTCGCTGTTTAGCGACCGGTTTAGCGACTGAAATTTTTCAGTCACGGTTTTGCGACCGAATTAGCGACGGATTAGAGTGGTAGCGAGAAAATCGGTCGCTAAATCGGTCGCTGTTTACTTGTGTTTTATGAAAATATAGTTTGCGACGGAATTAGCGACCAATTTTGAAAATAATTATCAAACAATTGCGACCGAATTTAATTCGGTCGCTAATACTGAACTTTTGAATTTTTTAGCGACCGATTCAATTTCGGTAGCTAAATTTTTTTTATTAAATTTTTAACTAAAATTACAAAGCCAAGATTCGATCCCTGGTGTGGGGGTTATGAGCCAGCAGCCATACCGTTATACCAACTTGGTTTCTTAGTATTCTTGAGAAAGTATGATAGAAAAATTTCGCAGGTAACTTTTCATGCGGATTTTCCTTCCAATTTTAATATGTAAGAAAAATAAAAAAATATTTAAATTTATAAGTTTAATATTTTAAAAAAACTTCAAGTCCCACATCGATTGAAAATAAAACAATTAAAGAGTATATAAGTTGGGGCAACACTTATTGTCCAAGTTGATTTGTATGGTTGAGTGTTAGACTTATAATTTCTGTAGAATTTTTTGCAAAAAAAATCGCAAGAAACTTTCTTGCGAATTTTTTTCGTAAGAAAATTTCTTGCAAATTTTAAAATTCGCAAAAACATATTATCTACGAAAGTATTACTTGAAGATAAAATTTTGCAGAAAAATTCGCAGGAATAATATTTGCTGCGAATTTTAATACAAAATTCACATAAAAAGTCACATATAGTAAGAGAAATTCTAGTAGTGGATGAAAAAAAGGGAGTATAGTGAGAATGAGATGAATGTACGAGGGAATGTTTTAATATTTAAGTCTTTATTTCATTTTTAAAATTTAATTGAACACTTAAATATATTTTTCCTCTATGTAAATTTTTTTTTTCTTCTGTTTTTAATCCATGTAAATTATTTTGTTTTTGTTTTTGTTTGTAGTACTTGTAAATATGTTTCCTTTTTTGCTTTTAGTTCTAGTAAATTATTTTATTTGTCTATAGTCGTTGTAATGTTTTTTTTTTGGTAAATTGTGCTTTTAATTTTCTTATGATATTTAATTTATAATTTTTGTTTCTTAATCTTTAATTATTTAATTTTAATCTCTCAATTTTATAAAATTTATAATTTTAATTTTATTAATAAATTTTATTTATTAACTATTAAAATTATGATGTTGATTATGAATTTATATATAGAGTAAATGACTAGATAATTAATATTTAATAATATTTAGATTAAATTATATATTAAATTTTTATTTTTATCCTAATTTTATTATTCTTTTATGAGATAAAAATAAAAATTAAAAGTATATTTTAGTTTAAATATCATTAAACATTAATTATTATGTCATTTAGATCATTTTTAATGCTATTACTTCAAGAGATAATGAACAACCATTTAGTATTGAGATAAAAATTGTAAAGTTTATAGAATTAGAGTAAATTTATAAAATTACAAGTCAGAGAAACAAAATCGCAGATTAAATATTATAGGGATAAAAAGTGAAATTTAACTTTTATTTTAATATTTAATTTAAGAAAAAAGTTAGAAGTGAAATCACAGTATAATATTTTTTGATAATGTGACAATTAATGAGATGAATTTTTTTAATAATGTGGCATTTTTATGACAAAACACTAGACATGGCAATAGGCAGAACAAAGGTGAGTTTTGCTTTTAATTCCCATATTTGTCCTCGTAAAAGGCCAGCGAGTTCTGATTTAGATAAACTCATAGGGAAATCTTAGTGCTTTTTTTTATAATTTTAATTTAGTTCAAAAATTTTAAATAAATTATATTTTAAGTTATTAATTATATATAATTCAAATAATATATAAAAGTAATAAAATAAAGAGAGTGGAAATAAGTGAAATTATTTGATTAAAAAGAAATAAAAGAGTAAAAAATTAAAAGTAGTGGGTCTCATCTTTTTATTTCTTTCTCTCCTTTTATATATATATATATATATTCGCAAGTAATGTTTACTAAATGATAGAAAAATTTCGCAGGTAACTTTTCATGCGGATTTTCCTTCCAATTTTAATATGTAAGAAAAATAAAAAAATATTTAAATTTATAAGTTTAATATTTTAAAAAAACTTCAAGTCCCACATCGATTGAAAATAAAACAATTAAAGAGTATATAAGTTGGGGCAACACTTATTGTCCAAGTTGATTTGTATGGTTGAGTGTTAGACTTATAATTTCTGTAGAATTTCTGAGGTAAATATATAGAATGGACGACCTTTAGTTGAAGATATCTTCTTTATTAAAAAATTAAATTATTTTTTTCTTTATAGGATCATACTTTATAGTCTTACAAATCTAATAGAATAAATTTTATTTTTCTTTTAAAAAAAAATCTTAAGCAATTATTTTATCTAAAATCTATTAATAAATTAAAATTTTGAAATGCATTGGATTAAAAGATTTTTACTCTTGGTTTATTTGATCTTATTTTTTTATTGATGGTTAAAAAAATATTATTTGTGTACCTTAAAATTATTATTTGGATAAAGAAAAAGGACTTTAACTTTTATAGAATGAAAAATAAAGAAAAATATTTTTACAAATACCAAAATTAATGGCTACTCATTTTACATAGACCAAAGACTGTTTATGAATTTTAAAAAATGAAAAATAAAGAAATATTTTTTATAAAGAACAAAATCAAACATGCTCATTTTAAAGGTGTTGTGGGTTGCATCAATTGTCCCGTGGCGGAGGCTAGATGAGCCAAGTCAACTGTCGAATCATGGCGCTTGGGCTGCTATGCTCTTAAGTAGAAAGAGTTGCACCTTGACTATCAGTTATAGCTTTTGGCCTAGTGGTAAGCGCTCGATCAAACAATTGGTATTAGAGCCAAGGTCATGAGTTTGATACCCAGTGAGGCAATTGCTGAGGGGGAGTGGGCCAAGTCACTGTCGAATCATGGCGTTTGGGCTACTACGCTCTTAAGTAGAAAGAGTTGCGCCCTCAGTTATAGTTTTTGGCCTAGTGATAAGCGCTCAATCCAATAAAAGGGAATAAAAAATATATTTTAATTAATTAATATTATAATCAATAAAAATAGCGTTCATAATATATTAAAAAAAATTTAAATTATAAAAGCAAATTATATACAATACCTTGTTTAAATTACTTAATTAAATTACATAGCTAAAAGTAAATTAATGATCTTAGTTTAAAAAGCGTTTTATCTTAATTATTTTAATTAATGTTCTTCGTTTATTTATTCATAGAATCACTAAACTAATTAAAGTTAATAGTAAAACATTAAAAAAAATGTTAAAAACATAAAGCTTACGATTTTTTTAGGGAGGAAATTTAAGTCTCGTGTTTTTTCTTCCACCATTTCTTTTTTGTTTTAGGAATTAAATATTGCATGTTTGTGAAGAAAAAAAAATTTAAGTCATTTAAGAAAATGGTTTTGGTTAAAGTTGAAACTTTCACAAGTTTGACAAGTTTGTGGTTGTTAAAGAAAATAAACACCCCTGTATATATTAATTAGATATAAAAGACTCGAACAAGTATATGAATCAATAGTCAAAGGGTAACAAACAACAACACTAGAGACAGAAAAGTGGTTTGGAAAATGCCATAGAACTAGATGCTAATGCCATGTAATTAAAATAATATGCGGAAGAATGACGCTAATGAGAGTGTAAATTAAGATTCTGTAGCCGTGTATTTATAATTTAGGGTTTGGGAACGTCCCAGCCATGCTAACAAGAGAAGCATTAATAACCTAGTTTAGTTACCACCCCATGACATTATATTTTTTCAGCATCCATGCACTTCATTAATTCCTCATATTGCTACCGCATACTCATACATACTGTACTCTAGCCTTCCTCCTAATAAGTAGCTTCAAGTCGATCATCTCCATCCTCATCTCAACTGATCCATACCATATCAATTAATGTGTTGAGTTGCTTGTTGTGCTTTATCTTTTTTGTTCCATGAACATGCATATTCTCAGTATTTCGAATTTCACAATCAAAGATTAGTAGTACATACAAAACATGATTTTTATTGGACAAACATCACTATAACATTGACGGAAATCAATCTAGGTCAATTCCTCATGTCCCAGGGTAAGTTATGTAACCATTGAGTAAAGGGAGTTGGTTATATAAATCTGTGCTGCATCTATATTATATAAAATGATGAGTAACAGTCGTCAAGTTGGTTTCATTAATTATGGTGGGAATGTTCCATTTCCTATCCACGCAAAGTTGGGAAGAAGTATTATCATCAGCTTGGCAGATACTCACAAGGAATCGGCTCTGTCATACACCATAAACATGACTCCGGATTCGCGGTTTTGGCGCACTTACAAAGCTTGTAAGCTCACATCAACAAAATATGTTGACAATGACGGCAAACTCTTCAAGGTAAACTTCAGACTCGATGAATCCGAATTTATAACCAAGTGGAGTGATTTCAGTTTCAGGATAGAAGTAATAAAGGGATCCAATTCTCTTCGGTTGCATAAGCCCGAGAACTTTCCATCTATTATTCAGGTCTTCACAAACAAGATCGTTGTTGGACGGAGCGCCACGGTAGACCAAGTAATTTACTTGTATGGAAACGATGAAGATAACAGAGGGGGTCTTCTTGTTACGGAGTGCAAGGAAAACGAGGTGACTGTGGTGCACTACTTTGTTATTTGTAGGGAACGATTTAACTTTAATTTCATAAGTGAAACGGATATTGGCCTTTCTGTAGTGGCAAAGTTTAAAGCATCCAATGGGAGTTTGGATGTAACGGTGGAGGGTCCTGATGCACACCCTCCATCTGCTTTAGTTTACATGTTTGATGTAGTCAAAAAAACCAGGACATGGAACCCTTCCATGTGCCCTCATTGTGGAGACAACAATGGTGACAGCAACAGCCATGGAAGTCAAAGCATAGTAGTGATTAACAATCACGGAAACTTGGACGGTTATGGACATGGTAGTTACATTGAAAACATTAGATTTCATTGAAAACATCATGTTGTGTTTAGGTGCTGTTGGAGGAAGACGAGATAGAGACATTATTTTGGAGGAAGATTATAAATTTAGGAGCTGTTGTGTTGTCTTGTGGTTTGTTTTTTTCATTTTCTTAGTACACAATGAGTTATGCTGGTTGTACTATGAAGGATCCAAGCTTTCCAAGTCGTGTATGCATCAGTATATATGTAACCTTCTAGTGCTTGCACCTTTTCTTTCTCAATAAATATAGATTACAATACAATTGGCTCTATATCTTGTTTAGTTAAAGATTTGTTTCTTTAACCAACACTTAGCTAGTTAATTGGCTCTCTGTTCATCACAAGGTCTTCCCTTATAATTTCAAAGTTCTCCCGACATTGCACAAGTAAAATTTAATTATCATAAAATATGTGAAAACTATATATATATATATATATTAATAAATTTGTTCCCATATTTTTCTATCTTAATATATTTAAAGACTTTTAGTAGATGAATTTTTGTCGAAAGATATTCATTTTCATCTATGCAATCAAGATTTGAATTAAGACTTTTTTTTTCTTTGTATGAGTGACATCCAGGTGTGAGAATAAGTGAAAATTATTATTTTAACTAGTAATTGGTGTTTTCTGAAACGGACTGATCATCAACTTGGTTAATTCATTGATTGAACTGCATTAACCGATGTTTATCAAAGTTGCTAAATTTTGAATTAAAAAGTATGTATTTAAGCTAAACTTTTTGCATATATATTAATTTATAAAATTGCTTTGGTTCAGTGATTGTAACACTTTTAGTGTTTTCCAGGAGCAGAGTTGATGATGTCATATCGGACTATATGTAGAACCAATCTGAAAAGGTGACCAAACCGACCCCATGTCCAAATTTTAGTTTAACCTTGCAGTTCGAGAGTTTAATGACATTTCTTGTAATAGATAAACAAATTATGCTTTTGTTTTATATTTCGGTCTCCAAATTACAATCTAAATCAGTCTCCCTATCTCTAAACACTAATTTTTCAGGGTCAGGGACTATTATTCCTTCTCTGATTTAACTGTAGCATTGAAACTGAACCTTATCTCTATCTCTAGTCAGTCAATATGGTATCTTTACTATGTAGGCCCTGTTAGTATGAGAGAAGGTGATGCACATGTTGATGGACATGGTGGCTACCATGCATGCATTGGGGACTATGTCAAAGAATGAGATGTTTGGAAACGTTCATAGGGAAGAGTGGAAGACCTTGTCATAAATACAAAGAAATCTAAGTGCTTGTTAAATAAACAAAGGTATAATAAACACGCTGAAATATCTATTATTGATAAAGAAAACTTAAAGTGCAAGCACTAGGTTACTAACAGACAACTTGGACATCTTTAATTCTGCATAATATATACAAGCAGATAGAAAATATTGTGTGCTAATGGAGAGCAAAACCAAACAGTACCTAAATTTATTTTCTTCCTCCAAGATTGTTTGTGTCTTCAGGGCCATTACTTCTAAATAATAGGATTATTTATTAGCACAAATTAAATAAGACTAGGGTTGACATAAATTTCGGTACATCTAGTTAATTAGTTATCCTCATCCTCTAAAATTATTATTCCGGTTTTACCATGCCGCACGAGTGCTCCATCATTTCCAACATTACTACAATGAGGGCACATAGTCGGTTTCCAAATCCCGGTCTTATAAACTTCATTAAACATATAAAACAATGCAGCAGAAGGGTGTTTCTGAGGACCTTCCATCACTATATCCAAATTGCCGTTGGATGCTAGAATCTTTACCACCACAGAAAGGCCTATATCTTTCCCAGTTCTGGAAAAAACTGCTCCATCACTATTAGCAAAGTAGTGTGCCAAAGTCGCTGCATTACATTTTTCATCCCTACTATTTTTCTTCAACTCTAAAACAACAAAACCCCCTCTGTTTCCACTTCCATACAAGTTAACTTCCGTGTCCACAATGTCGCCGCGTGCATCAAAGGTCCTCTTTCTCTTCGTTGACATGATGGATGATGCAAAGGAGCCACCAATCCCTTTTGGAGTTATCTCAAGAGAATTGGTTGCAGTTCTTTGTATCGTCAAATCGAAACAAACACTCTCAATGTGTACTCGGTCACTGAGCGTGAATTTTACCGAGTTCACCTTGTCGTGTTTGTCAACCTTTTTTGTAAACATGAGGTCACAAGCTGAACCATCTACTTTGTATACCACAGAATGATATTCCTCGAATCCTCCATCATCGAACTTCTGACTCACTTTTGTGGACAAGTTGATGACATCTGAATTTCCGAGATTTTTATTGGAAGTTGATTGAGAAGCCCTAACATTAAGGGAAGCACTACTACTGTTTCCCATCTGTTAATGTATAATATATAGATGCAGATGCAGCACGCACAGGCACAGCACAACTTCACAAAGTAGCTAGAAAAATGGACCAGTTGAGTTGAGGTGAAGGTGGAGACGTGAAAGAAAAGCAAGGATTCTAGGGTACGCAATACGAGGAAATAATGCAGTGCAAGTGCACTTTCTGAAAATATAATGGGTTACTAAAATATTAGGTATTCTCTAGCTAGCATGGTTGGGATGTTCCTATGGAAAAACTATAAATACACACATTGCAGAATCTTTGGACTCTGACGGCAAGGGTAGCGTTATTCTTCCGCAGAGTAATTTAATTGTAGCATCTCATTCTCTATCTAGTGCCATTGCCTTTTAGCCTTTGATTCTTGATTCTTCCACGTGTTGAATTCTTGATTCTTATTCTTTTACATCTAGTGTATGGGGGCAGGTGTTTGTTTTTCTTTAACAACATAAATAACTAAAAGTGGTACATATAAGATAAATAACTAAAAATCAAGTCTTAAGTTTGAGAAAAATAAAAATAAGACTTGTTTAGGATAAAGTCTATATTCGACCTAATTATATATATTCCATCACTTACTCAACATGGTTAGATTACGTTTAAATATGAAAGACTGTAAATACGTACAAATTATAAATTTCTCATGTGGGTATGAAAAATTTTCAACTGAGTTGAAACAATCTATAATTGATTCGATCTGCATTGAAAATTTTGATTAATTTTTTTGAAAAATTCAAATAGACTCACTTTACAAAAACAGTTCAATTATCCAATTCATTTTTATAAAGTGAATCAGTTAGATTTGATTTAATTTTTTAAAATTATTGATTCATATATGAGTAAAAAATAAATAATTGTACTATATTAAATTGATTTAGTTTCAAAAATATCAATCTATATTTTAAAAAAAATTAATCTGATTCACTTTATAAAAAAATTAAATTAATCCACTTTATAAAAAATAAATTGATTAATTAGTTCATTTTTATAAAATGAATCGGTTCGATTCAATTTGTATGAACACTCCTAATTATTTTTGTTTGTGGATTGTGGTGTGCATATATTGCAGGTGGATCTTGAAGAGTACCCAACGGGACCCGTATTACTTCACGAATGCTTTTCGCTGGGTTCCCTCTTTCCCTT